AAAATTAAAAAAAAAAAAAAAAAAAAAACATATCAGGCAATACACAAAATTACAAACTGAATTGATTTACATCAGAAGAAATAAACTAACCAGGAATCGATACGAGATATATGAACAGATACCTCTTATAGGCTAAGCAAAAGGGAGAAAAGATCGAAAGAGTAAATAGTGAGAGTGAGGGAGAAGCCCATAAAACCCCTCGAGACAAAGAGAAAGAACAAGAGAATTCCCTTTTCACTTCTTGTCCCCCACCATCGAATTCGGTTATCATAAAATAAGAAAAGAAGGCATTTGTAACCATAATAAAGTTAGCAGCTCATTACCACAGTACAGCTCCAACTCCGAATCCACAATTGACCCTCTCGCTCTCTCTTCTCTCTCTCCAAATGGATCATCTAAAATCACTGTTCGATGCGCGGATGGTGAGACATCATTATAGGATTGAAAGGCATGCAAATACAAGTACCTGTACCAGTCAAAGAAAAGCGCTGAGGAATCCAAAACAGCCAAAAAAAAGCAGCAACCGCTTCGATGCAAGGAGTCGACCACGTTCGGTGCAGGGAAAATGGGGATTTGGATTCGGATTTGAATTGGATGATTGCTTGTGTATGAAGATGAAGATGAAGAATCATGGACAATAATAATCACGTGGAAGCACAGGATAGAGGAACAGTATCGATTCAAATGGGCAGTATTAAAATGGAGGAAGCAGAGCTGTACCTGATCATCGATAACCTTTTTCTATCGGTCAGGGCTTTGGAGGAAAAGAGGGATCAGAACTGTACGACAAGCCACAAGGCCGGGCTCTACTCTAACTCAGGTGCTTTCTAGTGGGACCGCCGAGGCCCCATGGCTACTATATACGTGTTGATTTTTGTTCTCTCTTTAATAGTCAAATTCGTCCTTCGTTTGCTCATATTTTCAAATTTGGTACTTAATAGTTTAACTTTAATATCATATGTTTCTCCTAACTTTTTAAGTTTCAATCTCGTTCGTGATTTTGTCAAATCTTCGATAATAAGATAAGTGGAAAACTCTCTCAGACGCGTTTTAAAAATCTTGAGAGGAAGGTCAAAAGGAAAAATTCAAAAAGGATAATATCTACTAGCGGTGGGCTTGAAGCATTACAAATAGTATAAGAGCCAGACATGGGACGATGTGTCAGCGAGGAGGCTAATCCTCAAAAGGGGTGGACACGGGACAGTGTGCCAGCAAGGATACTAGGCCCCTAAGGGGGTGGATTGGGTAGTTCTACATTGAGTAGTACATTGGTTCTACACATGTCAGCGAGGACGCTGGGTTCCAAGGATGGTGAATTGTGAGATCCTACATCGGTTGGGAAGGATAACGAAACATTGTTTATAAGGGTGTAAAAAGCCTCTTTTTAGCATACGCGTTTAAAAACCTTGAAAGGGAGCTCAAAAGGGAAAACCCAAGGAGGACAATATTTACTAGCGGTGGGCTTGCCATATAGTCCTTGAATTTGGACAATAGGTCAATTCCGCTCTCTAGATTTTAAAATCATAGAATCATTTCAATAATACATCTAAACATCACTACTTATCCTCAATCTTAAAACGACTCCTTTGATCTTTCCCTATTACTAAAAATTATTCTAATCGTTAGTAAGAAGAAAAGGTCAGTACACACAACAGCGGTGCAAACTTTCACTTCCAAGAGAAGATGGCGTGAAGAAGATCGTTTGTGTTATGTGTAGTAAAAGTGAGGAATCTCTCGTGCAACATTGATGCTATTTTTTACCAAATCTATTACGTTAACTTGTTCTTTTTCGAGTTTGAATAAGAAAGAAAAAAATGAGTGAGTAATTTTAGAGATCCGAGAATAGAATAGAGTATTGAACCCGGGAAAGAAAAGAGAGGAAATGAAATGGAAAAATATTAGGTCATATAAAAATAGTGTCATGAGAGCTTATGTTCAAAGTGGACAATATCATACCATTGTGAATATCTGTTATTCCTTGCATGGTATTAGATTCATGTTCTTATCTTAGCGTAGTCATGTCAATAGAACTCTCTTAAGTTGTGAGCCTCAAAGGTGTAGTCATAGTGGCTCCGGTTTCGAAGAAATGAGATGTACTCTGTTGCCTAATTATTACCCCGATTCCAATCCTAACCAAATTTTTATGTGAATTAGGACTAATTGAGAAAAATCAATATTTTTGGACACCCTATTCGCATAGGAACGCTAAACGAAAGGGCATGCGTTAATCATGTAAGTCACCGTATGGATTTTTAGGAATGAATACTTGTAGGGATTGCTTAGATGCATGCATGCTAGTAATTTCACCCTAGGCGGTAGCTTTTCCCGGAAATGATTTTAGGTAATATGAGTAAGGATCCATAGTGTGAAGTTGAATGTATTCATGTTTTATGCTTCCACTGTATATGTATGCATGTGTTTAATTCATGCTGAAAGGAGGATTGGAAATTGTGAACTCTACGCTCCGGGTGTTGATGGATGTCATCGCCTCGTTGAGCATTAATGTATATTCTGTATGAATTATGTATGTTGACTCTCGATAATCCAATGTGTGCACACCCAATAATTTTCATGACTCATTATTATGATAAGTTTAGGGATTTGTGGTTAGAGTGAATCACTGAGTTTAAACATAACATTTCCCTAGGAGCCTAACAAATCACAATGACAAACGAAATACTTTAAGAGTGTTCTTAGCCTGCTAGTTGTATGAACGGTGTCTATAACTTCGTGGGGGACTAGGGGTTCCTGATCTGTACCCACTGCTCCTAGCCATTTCTCATGGGAAACGTGAGCCCACATCGTATAGCCCATTAGCTGCATTGGATAAGAGAGCAGTTGGGCCCCTCGATAAGGGGAACTATCATGGACCTAAGAGGTACTCAACATACCCCTAGGTAAGATACCATATAGTCTCAGATAGTCATGTAGAGGTAGTGCCTCGTAGAGAGACACTGGTCATTCATAGCTTGACATAAGGAACTTTTATGATTTAAATGAAAGGACGGAGAACCAGAATAACCCCAAGAGGATAAGATCAGAACTAGACGTCCTAGAGCCAAAGAGAAGTCCGTGGGAATCTATTAAGCCTAGAATAGGTGGCTTACTGAGTATAATTTTTATACTTATCCCAATTTTCCTTTCTTTTCAGGTGTTCGTAGGCAGCCAATCGAGGTGGAGGAGCGTTTTAGAGCTGTGCGGTCACAGAGGGATTGTTTCGGAACGTCTATCCATTTTTACATTTTGGAGTCTTTTGTATTATCTTTAATATTTGTATCCCATTTGTAATATTTGAAACAACAAACTTGTTTTTTCTTTTATTTTAATTTGATTGAATTTTTATCTTTTATTATACATTTCTTCCATTTTATTTTTATTTGTTTTCGCTTTCATCTTTTTAGTCACGGTCAGAGTTTTCAAAGCCTTGAATCGTGACACTAAGTTGTTTTTCAAAGCCTTAAGGAACCTCAAAGGTATGATAATTATGCAAGATCTTAATGGAACTAGAATATGTAGGGGTATAAGGCAATGCTTAAGGGAAAAGACAAAACTAGCCCTAATGAATCTTAGAAAGACTCATGGTCTCTCTCGAACTTCAAAGACTATATAACGATACCATAAAATATTCATGACTTTTGTGAGCTTGGATTAGGGTTTGAGAATTTATGATAAAAATTTTGCCATAATTGTACCTTAAGAATAATTCTTGGAGCAGGAATCCAAGAACGGAAGAAATTAAGAAAATGTTCTAAGGACGAGAACCAAGAAACAACCCAATATAAATTCTAAGTTTACTAAGAAAAAGAAAACTTCTAGGTACTACACAAAAGGTCCTCAAACTCGGAACCTAAGAATCTTTAGACCTCCCATGGTACAAAATGTTCATGACTTAGACTACGTTGCTTGGAATGTAGCCTTAGATGTAGGTTTTTCAAATTGCTTCGCTTGGAACGTAAGAATCCTCGGATGCAGGTTTTAGACTACGACGCTTGGAGCGTAAGAAGTCTTAGACATAGATATTCAAACTATGCCACTTAGAACGTATGAAGTCTTGGACATAGGTTTTCAACCTGTGTTGCTTGGAATGTAAGACATCTTGGATGTATGTTTTGGACTACAACGCTTGAAACATAAGAAACCTTGGGCGTAGGTTTTCAGATTGTATTACAAGGAACACATGAAGCCCCAAATGCAGGTTCAAATTAGGTCACTTGGAACGCATGAAGCTTTGGATGTAGGTTTTCAAATTGTGTCTCTTGGAACACATTTTGAACATTGGTTGTCAGGTTCATGTTTTGTACCGTAAATCTTAGGGGAAATGTCTTAGAGAATAAAACAAGAAACAAGAAACAAGTAGTAAGAACAAAAACTAAGGATGAGACAATAATTAAGAGTCGGAACCAGGAACCAAGAACCAAGAACCAAAGATTGATATTCAAATTCTCATAACTAAGAACACAAAACATCATAACCAAGGTCCGTAGTTCATAACCATGTTCAAGAACTTAGAACCCATGACCAAAGTCCTTGGGCCAAAACCATGATAAGAACTAAAAACTCAAGAATAAAACCTATAGACCTAAGTTCTCACGACAAGAACAAGCGCATGATAAGTAATGAGTCTGTGGTACCCTAACATCCACCATAGATAGGATTAAGAGCTTACAAATATATTACTTATTAAGCTGATATTTATTCAAGTTTCCTCATATTTTTTCAGATGGTAAAAAGGAGTCAGTTGAGGATGAAAGCCATCAAAAGTATGTGTCATACACCGTGCTTTCAACTACTTCAATATTTTAAATTGTTTTGTTACCCGTCGTAACGTATTCAAACTCAAACTTTATTTTGAATTTGTAAAATAAAATGTATTTATGCTTTTCTTTTAAACCAAAGAAATTTGACTCTCTTTTATGACTCTCTTTTATGTGTTTAAGTTTCTATTAGCCGCGACTTAGAGAAATTAGGATGTGATGACTTCAATAATTTATATTTAAGCTACAGTGAATTCATCAAAGGAAGCTTTACAAGATGTTGGAATCCTTTTCTACTTGTTGTGCAAAGTTGAGTTTCAAGATAGAGATGCATTAAATGCATTTTTACCTTCATTTAGTGAATTTATAGTTGAATTTTTTTAAACTTTTGGCCACTTTTGGACAACGTAGTAACGGATTCACATGGAGATCTTCCTAAAACAATAGAGAATAATTGGGTATTTCCTCTTTAGTAAAATTGGAGAAAGTTACAACAAAATTAGGGCAAATCCAAAGAGAGAACGGGTGAGAGACAGAGACTTGGGAGGGGGAATGGTTGATCGGTTGAAAGATATGGTTCTTTTTTCTTCTACTCTTACAATCGGTATAAAATCACAAATTTTATCGATTAATCTTGGTATAGACTTTAGTTATACCTTTCAAAAAAATTGACATAGGTTGAATTAGGTAAAGATTCTTACTAGAAATAATCATCCATCAAATTGACCAAATACTCAATAGTCTTTGGCTTTTACACTCATCAAAGTATTTGGGTTAGAGTCTATAAGCCCAAAATATTCTTTTAACTTGTTAGTCTTATCAAATAAGTTGATATTAACCCACTATTACAAGAGTATCATCTAAGAAAACAATGTCTTTTATATTTAGATTCTCTATTGGTGAGATCTCACATCACATCGGTTAGGGAGGAGAACGAAACATCCTTTATAAGAGTACAGAAACCTTTCCCTACCAGACGCGTTTTAAAAACCTTGAGGAGGACAATATTTGTTACCGTTAGACTTAAGCTGCTACAAATGGTATTAGAGACAGACACCAGACAATTTGTTAGTGAAACCTTTTGGTTAATTTTATGGCCGGAAATTAAGTGAGTTTTTGGGTAACATTCAAATGGATGTTGGTGATTTTAAACTAATTAAACTAAACCTTTTGGTTAATTTTATGGCCGGAAATTAAGTGGGTTTTTGGGTAACATTCAAATGGGGGTTGGTGATTTTAAACTAATTAAACTAAACCTTTTGGTTAATTTTATGGCCGGAAATTAAGTGAGTTGTTGGGTAACATTCAAATGGGAGTCGGTGATTTTAAACTAATTAAACGAAATTAAAGAGGTGTCACTACTGTCGTAAACATAAAACAGTGAGAAAACCAATAATAATGAGGAAGGTTCGGCTAAGAGAGATTGAATAGATAAGTTATTAAGTTTTGTGGTGGATTTTAAGTGAGTTTTTTGGTAACATTCAAATGGTGTTGGTGATTTTAAACTAATTAAACGAAATTAACTCAGACTACCACTACTAATATGAATAGAAAACAGTGAGAAAACCAATAATAATGAGGAAGTTCGGCTAAGACAGATTGAATAGATAAGTTGTCGAGTTTTGTGGTGGATTTTAGTTTCCTTCAACCGATTCTCAATCCCACTTCCGAGGCTCATGCACGGTGATTGCTTCCATAATTGTTTCAAGGCTCTAGGAGAAGAATTATTCCTAACCCTCTATTACCTTCAAGTATGATTGCAATGGAACTAGAGTACTAAAGAGAAATTCATTGTTCCCTCTCTTCTCACGAATAAGAGAACAACCATGTATATAGTAAAGTGACCAGTTATTATTAATGACAACTCTTTAATAAACTAAAATCACACTGTCAACATACTTAAACTACATAAAACTCTCTCGCGTCCCTTATAAAGTTTAGCTCTCCATACAAACTGAATTAAACAAACGAACCCACATCTCAATCATATTAATTGATAGAATAAGAAAAGAGAGTAAGGAATTAGAGATTTATCCAGCTTTGGTGCTGTTCTTCAATGGAAGTTCCTTTACCTTGAACTTTTACATCCACCTCTTTGTCCCAATCAATCCTTCTTGGTCTTCTTTTCCTTCTGTTATCAACACGGTTTTCTTTTTCTTCTCTGATTTCACATCAGTTCACTGTAGCACCAACGCTTTCTAAAATGTGGCTCTATCCTTTTTTAGGTATCATTTTCTTTTTATAATGTTTGTTTCTTCTCTGAGAAATAATAAAATTGTCCACTTAGGATGTTTCTAATTGGGTTGTCAATGACCCAGTTGATGTAGACTAAAATTTTCATGTCATCCCCTAAAATTAGATTTTTCGAATTGCTTCACCAACAGGGTCAGCAATTTGTTCCTAATTTGCCAACGTTCGTGTTTCTAGATTTGGTACTGCATCATGGTTCAACATAAATGTTCTGAAATTTTAACAAATAACTCAATTAAATTTAAATGTACAATTAAGCTCGATTTATACAAATTGATCTTCTTTTCATATTAAACCACAATTGATTACTTCATGTATACTAATTAGAATAAATGGAACATTTTGGAGAGTTATTACTAGACACAAGGCGGTGTACCAGTAAGGATTCTGGGCCCCAAAGGGGGGTGGATTTGGTAGGGGTTCCCTAACGATTGGAGTAAGGAACGAGTGTCAGCGAGAACATTGCGTCCTAAAGGAGAGTGGATTGTGAGATCCCAAATAAGTTGGGGGAGAACGAAACACTCTTTATAAATGTGTGAAATTTTTCCCTAATAAACCCGTTTTAAAAACATTATGGGGAAGCCTAAAAGAGAAAGCCCAAATATTTCTAAATATCTCAATATTTTGTAATATAGTATTGTTAACATAACACAAACTATGTTCATCTAAATATACTTTTGAGAGTATTTCATACTATATGAACTTTCTAATAATAAAGTTTCGTTAAGTATTTTCAATAATGAAGAACAAATCTCGAGAGTGGATCTTGTATCAACTATTCAAGTGATGTTATTTATTTTCTATATAAAAAAAAAAAAAGATAAATCAAATTTATTATCATTTAGATTTTTTTTTTTTTTTATTGTTTTTTGATGTATTTACAAATTCACAAGAATAAGTGCAAATATACACTATCGCAAGTAGCAAGTAATAAATACATTATCGATTCCACGTCGAACCTATCTTTTTTGTTACTTTTGTTGTTGGAAATTAAGTAAGTTCTTAAATATCATTCAAATGGGTGTGGACGTGGGTGTAGGTGATTTTAAACTAATTAAACAAAATGTGTGCAGAGTGCCACTGCTATAAAAATAATAAAAAAATCAAGAAGAAGGTGTAAAATTGATATAATAAGAAAAGAGTACGAAATTAGAGAGTTATCAAGTTTTGTTGCTGTTCTTCAATGGAAGTTCTCTTCCTTTGAGCTCTCACGTCCACCTCTTTGCCCTAATCTATCTTTCTTGGTCTTCTTTTTCTTCTGCGGTCAACATCGGTTGGATTAGGGATTATTTTCTTTACCAAATGTGACTCTCCTCTCTTCATGAAGCTCCGAGCCTAATCTCTATTGCTTCCTAAGCCTTTTGAGAGGTCTTGAAGCTTCAAGCAATCCTTTGGTCTAATTCTTACCCGTTAGGGTCTATACAAGTTACTCAACTTTTATAGCTTGCCTTGCCTAGTTAGTGAATGACTATATTATGGGTTGATGCACTTCCTCAATAAAATATGGTACGACAACATGTCACCTACTGGTCTGAACTATTGGGAATAAACGCTTCATATGTGCAGCTGAAACGTTGGAATCAACATTGATTTTATTTAGAATTAAATAAAATGAAAAGGTTAAGCAAAATTACTTAGAAGAAATATGGAGAAAGTTATGGTAGGTACCTAGTTGTTCCGGCTCCTCTCGTGGCTAAATTTTCTTTCCAAAGTCTTCCTCACTTTGACTCGAACACAAGTTCAAAGCTTTTAGGGCCTAAAACAAAATCTCAAGGATGAAAGAAGGAGAATTAAAGAGAATTGGAGAGAATTTTCTACACACTTATAAACAATGTTTCATTCTCCTCTCCAACCAACGTGGGATCTCACACCAAAATTTATGGTTGGATTCGATTTAATTTAATAAAGATTATTTAGATTGAAATAATTTAACAAATAGTGTCCATCAAACAATTATGTTGGGTGTTAAATGGTTGTAAATTGAAGGGTTTACCTTCATTTTCCCATTCCTCGAATCCTTCACAAGTCAACTAA